CACTCACATCAGTGCAGACTTTGGTTAGGACTTCTCCCGGTACTGTCCCCTCCGTATACCTCTGGCCCTGACCATTGAACACAGTAGCATTCTTCACCTGGTTCTGACCATAGGGGCCTGCACATGTCCCAGTCATTCTGTCCTTATCGGCCCTGGGAAAAGATAACTGTTGAGATGGCTCCAGCAGCACCATTTCTCCTGCTCTCTACGAGACTCTTCCATTCCACCCCTGCCCCTTCTGCAGAGAAGGCCCTAGGTCTCCATCCCTGCCTATCCACAGTGTATGTGGCTGCTGAAAGGGCTACAGTATTTATTCCATTCTAACAGTGAGGGCAAGCACGATCCTCTTGGCGTTTAGAAGACAAATCGGCAGAGGGCTTCTTGGAGTTAAATGCCATTACTTCGTTACACTGAAGAGTAACAAATGACTTGCTGTGAGAAATGACACCCAGAATAGGCTGCTGACATTTCCTTGGATAAAATAATAGGCTGGCTAAACAGACTAAGAAATATTGAGGCTTCTGCCTGCCCCACACAGTGCCTGTTTTATGCAGGCCCAGGCTGCTTCTGTGAATCAGAAGTCCGAGAGGGCCCTTCTTGGTGTTTACTTTTGATTATGCCTGAGGAAATGTCTCTGTGCTTGGAAGGCCCTTGAAAAAGGGTATGTCAATGGAAAACATCTCAGAAGATGTCCTCTGAATGTGCTTGTTGATACAATGCCCTGAGACTGGAAAATAAACTGAGATTTGCTCCTAGGCTCACAGGATGGGAATCAATTCTGCTAAAGAGTTTTTCCCAGGGAGCAGGAGGAGACAATTCACACCCACATATGCATTCTGTTTTCTTTTTGCTTTTTTTTTATTGGATATTTTATTTACATTTCAGATGTTATCCCCTTTTCCCATTTCCCCCCACCCAGAAACCCCCTATCACATCCCTCTTCCTCCTGCTTCTATGAGGATGTGCCCCACCCACCCACTCCTACCTCCCTGCCCTCATTCCCCCACTTTGGGGCATCCAGACTTCATGGGACCAAGGACCGTCTCTCCCACCTATGCCCAACAAGGCCATCCTCCCCTACATATACAGCTGGAGCCATGGGTCCCTCCCTATGTGCTCCCAGGCTGGTGGTTTAGACCCTGGGAGTTCTGGTTGGTTGGTATTGTTGCTCTCCTCATGGGGCTGCAAATCCTTTCAGCTCCCTCAGTCTTCTAACTCCTCCATTGAGAACCCCTTGATCAGTTCAATGGTTAGCTGTGAGCATCCACCTCTGTATCTGTCAGGCTCTGGCAGACCTCTAAGGAGACAGCTATATCAAGCTCCTGTCAGCATGCACTTCCTGGCATCCACATCAGCGTCTGCCTTTGGTGACTGCACATGGGATGGATACCCAGGTAGAACAGTCTCCAGATGGCCCCTTCAGTTTCTGTCCCACACTTTGTCTCCATATTTGCTCCCATGAGTATTTTCTTACTCCTTCTAAGAAGGACTGAAACACCCACACTTTGGTCTTCCTTCTTCATGAGCTTCATGTGGTCTGTGAGTTGTATCTTGAGTATTTCAAGCTTTTGGGCTAATATCCTATTATCAGTGAATGCATGCCATGTGTGTTCTTTTGTGATTGGGTTAACTCACTCAGGATGATATTTTTAGTTCTATCCATTTGCCTAAGAATTTCATGAATTCATTGTTTTTAATAGCTGAGTAATATGAGTCAATATACCACATTTTCTGTATCCATTCCTCTGTTGAAGGACATCTGGGTTCTTTCCATCTTCTGACTATTATAAATAAGGCTGCTATGAACATAGTTGAGCATATGTCCTTATTATATGTTCGAGCATCTTCTGGGTATATGCCCAGGAGTGGTATAGCTGTGCCCTCAGTTAATGCTATGTCCAATTTTCTGAGGAACCACCAGACTGATTTCCAGAGTGGTTGTACCAGCTTACAATCCCACCAACAGTGGAGGAGTGTTCCTCTTTCTCCACATCCTCTCCAGCATCTACTATCACCTGAGCTTTTGATCTTAGCCATTCTGACTGGTGTGAGGTGGAATCTCAGGGTTGTTTTGATTTGCATTTCTCTGATGACTAAGGATGTTGAACATTTCTTTAGGTGCTTCTTGGCCATTCAAGTTTCCTCAGCTGAGAATTCCTTGGTTAGCTCTGTACCACATTTCTTAATAGGCTACTTGGTTGTCTGGAGTCTAATTTCTTGAGTTCTTTGTGTATATTGGATATTAGCCCTCTGTTGGATGTAGGATTGGTAAAGATCTTTTCCCAATTTGTTGGTTGCCATTTTGTCCAGTTGACAGTGTCCTTTGCCTTACAGAAGCTTTGCAATTTTATGAGGTCCCATTTGTTAATTCTTGATGTTAGAGCATAAGCCATTGGTGTTCTGTTCAGGAACTTTCCCCCTGTGCCCAAGTATTTGAGGTTCTTCCCCACCTTCTCTTCTATTAGTTTCAGTGTATCTGGTTTTATTTGAAGGTCCTTTATCCACTTGAACTTGAGCTTTGAACAAGGAGATAATATGTATTCTTGAGCTTCCCATTTCAGTCAGTGGAAAGACACTGGGCTGAACTGGATGTGAGGCAGGCTGTGGTGTTCTCCCTATTGCATCTGTCACCTAAGGGAGGTGATAACTTCTGCCACTGCAGCTCAAGGGAGCAGGGAGAGGGCACCTTTCTCACAGAGTCAGTGGATCAGTGTATTGACTAAAGGGTGTGCTCAGATCAAATGTTAGTTTTCCAACATTAGACATTTTCCAGGAGTGGGCCTCCGAGGACTGACTATGAGGAGAAGATTCTTGCATCCCTGCAGGGAGTAGGGGACAAGGCTGCAGGAGTGTATGACTGTCACAAGACAACTTAGGAGGGTTAGATAAGGTACCACAGTCATGCCTGTCAGTCGGACCTGTATCCAAGGGAAGGGGGAAAGTTGATGACCAATTGTGTCTCTTAGGGTTGTGAATTCTTTGAGTTCAGTGTGACATGAGTGACAGGTGGGTCTTCTCAATAGTCACTGACCTTGGTTCTGGGTTTCTGCCACCTGGCTGTTCTGGCCCCTGAACATATGTTTTCCTTTAGTGAATTAGCCCTCTTTGAGGGGGGGTTGTCATTGTCCATCCTACCTAGCTCTCTGCTCAGGGCTTGGTCTGTAGTGATAGCTCCCATAAAAGGTATCAGTTCAGCACCTGCTGTGTCCTTCACCCCATAATCTAGACAATCCACTGTTTGCCAGCTTATAGAAAACAAGTCTGCTCAGTCTCCAACAAACACCCACCCTGAAGGCCACAAGGAGTGGGCTCCTCCCTACAAGGCATCCAGAATAGGCATGGATGCAGACAGGAGTTGGTTTTTGCTGCCAGGAACTGGGAAGAGGGCAAAAAGGGAGTGACTCCTGAAGGTTACAGGGATTCTTACTGGAGTAAGGAAAATGCCTTGGAGTTCATAGTGATGATCTCACAAGCTCTTTCCACAGATTGCACACATGCTTGTAGTATGTAGGTGTGCTCGCAGTATGTAGGTCCTGCTTTTGCTTATTTAAAGAGTAGAATATTTGGTATGAACTATGTCACATTTAAAAAAGAAAAACCCCCAAACCTAAGCAGTGCCACAGAGAGAACCAGGGCACTAGCACCATTTCTTACAGACCCAGTATCACTGTAGGTGAGGTGTGAGCTGGTGACAAAGGGCTGGGTTCTGCTGGTTGTGTGTAGGACTGTCACCATCCCTAGGCTCTGTAGGTCAGCACAAACAGCCTGCCTGTCAGCTTCTACCCAGGGACTTTGATGTGACGACTCTTTGCCAATACCTTCCTGGTCTCTGTTTTACACAAAGAACCAGGAAGGCTCATCCTTATGTGTACCAGGAGGCTTCAGGTGCTGGAGAGGAAGTCATCACTGAGGATGGTTAGAAAGCTGGTAGGCCTTGGCCCAGACCCTTTGTGGGGAACAGTTAGGAAGGTAGTCTGATGTGATGGCTAAGGATGATTGGGTACACAGAAGCCTCACCCAGGTCTCAGGTCCCTTGTGGGCTTCCTGAATTCCAGGCCGTTTACCTCTGCTGTGCTGTTCTTTTTCTGCATGCCATAGGCTGTTAGAGACTCTTGACAGTGGGAATAGAGTTGTGGCAGGTTGCCTGAGTGGGCGTGTCTGAGATATGGCGGTGAGGGGGTGATGGGAAAATGATAAGCCCTTGATAATTGTTAGCAGTGTTGTTAGCATTGCTGGGCTTTGCCTAGACTTTCAAAATGGATGTAGGCTAAAATGTTTTCTTCTTAAAGAACATTTTCTTTATAAAGATGCACATGTGTTTGCAAATAAAATGAAAATAAGAAAATGATAAAATGGGCGGTCAATTTCTAAACTGTTTATGAGCATTTTCCTGGGTAATAGTCCTTCTCAGGGTCCAAGATGAGTTTGCTCAAATATCTGATGAACCATTTCAATTAGGCATCTGTTTTCTCTACTTTCAAAAGGAAATTATTTTGAACACCACTGTCTTCCTGAAGCTCATCTGTGCCTCTGCTTTCTGGGCCATTAGAGAATAGCACAGAAATGTTTACCCAGAGCAGTTTGGGAAGCTCTACCTCAGAAACCGTATTCCAGAGGAATTACTACTAAATGAATATGTAAACTTATTAGAAGCAGAGTTTTAAAAATTCTTATGGAGAAACTTTAAGTTCTATTAGGGCTTAGCAACGTATGGTAGGTTTTCTCTTTCTAGAATATGAGCTGTCTGAGAAGTAATAATTTATAATATATTAATTATGCTAATTAATCTGAAAGAATTCAGAATATTAATTATCTGCAACTAATTAGGTTTAAAGTTGAGAACCATTAAGTGATGAGGTGTGGGTCTCATGAGCCATTTATTCAGCATGTTCAAAACATGGTGGAGGGAGGCTGGCATGCATGCGCATGGCCGGGTTCCCTGTTTGTTTATTTTTCATGGTTGATTGCTTCTTGTATCTTCCATACTTGATTCTGCACAGACCAGGAGGACGTGGACAAGGTCGATGTCTCCAGTGTGCCTGCAGAGGTGCTTCGAAACATTGAGGCTGACACATACTGGTGCATGAGCAAGCTACTGGATGGCATTCAGGTGAGCCTGCAGCTTGGGCAGCTTGGGAGGCTTGGGAGGCTTCAGACAACATGCTGCAGCCCACTGGGGAGGCCACTGGGCCACACTCTACTAGCTAGCTTCTGACCTGAAGAAGTAGGCAGCCTTTTTCTGTCTGGAGCAGCACATATTGGCCTCAAGGTCATAGACATGAGATAGGTCATACATGCTTCTGGTTCTGGGAACAGTCATTGTGTCCTGCCAGGTATTCCAGTACTTGGTGTGTGGGGAGTTTGATTCCCATGCTCTGATCTCCCCATTGCTTCTGCTTGTGTTCTCTAGCCTTTAGCAACACTGTGGGCACTGGTTCTAGAGTCCTTGGCAAGCTACTGGGCACATACTCCTTAAAGGGCATCAGGTCCAGGCAGTATCCCTTGACTGTACCTTCTAGGCCTGTGAGCAGCCCATAACCCATCTAGCTTTGGCGGCATGGCTCTGTATGAACGTGTCACTCCCACTGTGCCTGATCCATGGGGAGGCTCTAGCTTTTAGAGTCCTGAGTACCTGGGCATCATGGTGGGGACATTGCTGATCTCCATGTGGAAGTTAGGATTAGGGGCTGTGATATTCACAGAAAAGCCCCATGACAGTTTGGTTTTATGTAAACAATGTTTATGTGTGTATTGAAACCTGCACAGTACCTAGGACGAATCTCATTAGCTGATGACTTAAGAATGGGGACAGTATAGCAGTGACTGAAGTAGGCAAACCAGCCCTCAAAATGCCCTGTGGAATGTTTTTGGTTTGTTTTGGCCCAAAATACCTTTCCTAAACACCTTCTTTGTACTTGGCATTGTGTTCTGCACTTGAGAAGGAGCCTTGAGCAAGGCATGAGGCATGCCTGGAGGACCACACTGTGGCCTGGGCCCAGATGTTTCTTTACAGTGCATGGAGGCGGCAAGTACAGGCTCCCAGGATTAAGTGTGGCTAAAAGAGATTCTGTAGGAGGACAAGGAGTTTTGTTGACAGAGGAGGGGGAGGGACCAAATTCCCAAGATTTTCTCTAGGAGCCATGCAAAGAAGGTCATGACCTGTGCCATGGCAGCTAAGGGAGAGTCTTAGCCCTCAGGGCATCGGGAAGCCAGCTGGGGCACAGTTGCCCTCGTCTTTCTGAGTAGGTATCTCAGCTCATCTATTGGACTTGAAGGTCAAATATTGCTTCAGAAAATGTATGGCTTAGACCATGAGGCTTAATCTGAGTGGATCAGCCAAGTGGTATGTCAAGGAGACTTGGGCTTGTGTTGCTTTTCATACCTGAGGCTGACGGGAAGAAATTAGCATCCCCTGTGTAACTGAAGAGCCTTTGCTCTTGATACAGATGGCCCTTGACTTATTTTGTTTCTTGTAAAGACAGATGTGCTCACTAGAGACTTGTTTGGGCCTAAGCATCAATTCATCACTTCCTGCCTTTGTTAATGTTTTCATATTTACTCCTTCTTCAGGAACTTCAGGCCTTTCCCTGTTAGAGAAGGGATTGAACTGTAATGTAAAAGTTTATAAATTATCATTGTCGCTTCTCTGATTGTGAGTGATGGGACTTGTGCCATTTAAATACAAGATTATCTGGCTTCTGTTTGTAAATAAGATCGCCGTACAACGGAATCAATGCTGGCCTTTCATTTTTCACCTGAGCTTTGTTGTCGGGCAAAGTGGTTTATTGACAGGGCTGACAAGCAGAAGGCACCACAGTCCTCTGGTGCCTGTGTTTATAGCACGTTCACAGCTCAGTGGGAGCTATCCGTCTTTACCTCACATGGCTAGGATTGATTTCACAGGAGCCTCCTGTGAGCTGAATAGAAGGCTCTCAGTTCCACCATTTGGGATTTGGGAGCTTGACTGGATTCTTGTGGCTAAGGCAATGCTTCAGGGCTCTTCTGTGCATGAGCCAGTTTTGTTTTAGGTTAGCCTGTGAGGGTATGAGCTTGGTTAAAATACAGGCTTGAGTGGACCAACAGCCTTTTCCCCAAGGGCTTGCATGGCCTTCTCCTTTACCAGTGGTGGCTTGTTTCGTAGCCCACTTTCCACTCCTGGTCACACCTCTCTCTTCTCCATTATTTTTGTTCAGTTGGAGTGTTCCTCCCTAAGTATCCATTTCCTTGTGCCATGGTCTAGGTTGAAAGACCTCAGAAAATTCTCTTGTTTTGTTGAATGCAGATTCTCCTATCTGGACTTTACCTGTGTCTCTAGTTCTTCTATAAGGCTAGGTTGACTTATCAAAGTATGTAAGACATCCATACCGCTTCCTGAGGGGCTTCCATGGATACATGGTTCCAAACTATGGACTAAACTAGGGCCACTGGCTTTGTAGGTAACAGGCAGTGTCCTCAGGGATGAAAATGGGAGTTGGGTGTATCTCCTGCATGTGGGCACTGGGCCTTGTATCAGAGCCAGGGTCCTACCTGTACACCATGTGGATGCTCAGAGAGAAAGGCCACTGCCTCAGGTTACACAGCCTCTGAAGGAGCCCACATTTGGACCCCCATGGCTCCTATGCCTTCTGCTTTGCTGAAGTAAATAGAATAAGTTGTTTTGCAGGGCAGATTCTAAAGCAGTGGTTCTCAGCCTTCCTAAGACTGTGACCCTTTAATACAGTTCCTCATGTTGTGTTGATCCCCAACTACAAAATTATTTTCATTGCTACTTCATAGCTGTAATTTTGATACTGTTATAAATCATAATGTAAATAGTTTTGGAGATAGAGGTTTGCCAAAGGGGTTTTGAGAACCCTTTTTCTGGAGGGTAGAAACCTCATCTGTCTTTTGTTTTTGTTTTGGACACTCTGGGTCGCTGTAGCTATATTTGATTTATTGTGGACCTCAGGTGGAGATTCTGTGCCCACTAAGTTATTGTAATTGATCTGCTAGCTGTTACTTCTCTTTACCAATAATAACATTTGAACTTCCAAGTAAAGATTTTGAGTTCTGAAATATTATGGTTCACTACTCTGAGGAAGAAACAGGCTAAGGAATGTGACTGGTGACCATGTAATCAACATGGCGAACCTGTGCACTGAAACACATGGGCATGGGCAGGTCTGCTCAGAGTGTGATGAGCATGCCTGCGCAAGTTCTGAGGGTCGCTGTGGCGGATATGATCAGCACTGCTCTTGGGGCCCAGAGCTGAAGTCCAGTGGGGCTAGGGCGGAGACAGGCGAGCAGTGGGGGTGAGCAGAGAGAACTGGCCAGGTGCTCTGGCCCAGGAGGAGAGCAGACTTTGGGAAAACTGTTCCCACTGCAGCTGCTTGGAGAGGACCGTGTGCAAATCGTGTGTGACTTGCTTTGATGGCTTGTCAGCAGCAAGGACAGTCCTCCAGAAAGGAAGTGTGGTAGCCTGCTAAGAGCCAGCCAGTGCATTTGAGGAGGGTCTGCAGATGCACTGTGGCCTAGGTTTTCCTGTCCTGGAAGGTAGGAAGTAAGAGAAGAGCTGGCCCTACCTTGGGAGATGTGGGTGGCAGGGTGTACAGAGCAGAGCTGCCCATACCCATGTGTTTCAGTGCACAGGTTCGCCATGTTGATTACATGGTCACCAGTCACGTTCCTTAGCCTGTTTCTTCCTCAGAGTAGTGAACCATAATCTTTCAGAACTCAAAATCTTTACTTGGAAGTTCAAATGTTATTATTGGTAACAACCACTATCTGTTACCTGAAGTGATAGAGGAACTGTTCATTTTGGGGAAAATAACCGGTAACTTCCCATATTTACATAGCCGATTTGCCTCTGAAAGTGAAGAGGTGAGTCCTGTTTAGTTCACAGCTACAGTAGCCGTATGGAGCTTTCCTGGAGGATAGCTTGGCTATGTAAATGTCCTTATATACTAGGCTTTTCCTGCCCTCCATCCTTCCTCAAAATGTTGGAAGAGGTGCTTCTTCCAGACAGAGCTTGAGTAGTCTCAGTAGTACAATTAGACTTAATTAATTAATTTAAAAAATTTGAGACAAAGTCTTTCTGTGTAGCCTTGGCTGTCCTGGAACTTACTCTGTAGACCAGGCCAGCCTTGAACTGATAAGAGTCGTCTGCCTCTGCCTCCTGCGTGCTCGGATTGAAAGTGTGACAAGCGCCACCCAGTTAGATTTAATTTTATTTTAGCAGTTAGATCCCTACTTCATGAAGGGTGCTCTTCAATGAGGCTGCCTTTTGATTGAAGTCACAGAGCTTTGGGAATACACTGACCACCAGCAAGGGTTGGTGGTGCTGCCTAGATTCTTGCTCATGTACTGGTGTCTGCTCACCCTGCTGTGTGTTTCAATACAAATGTAAGCACAGTGAAGAAGATCATTTGTGTCCCTGTATTGTTATAAAAACAGCTTTGTTCTAATAGACATCTTGAAAGGGTCTCAGGGACCCCAAAGTTGGCTGGCTGGTCATTGAAGGCTTCTGAATGAGACTCATGATTTCTTAATCCAGGCATATGGCAGTCTCACTGAGAAGCCCCAGAAGGTGAGCTCAGAGAAAGTACCAAGTGATCTTACCAGAGTCCTGGCAGAGAGGACTAGGAGATGAGAAAATAAAGAAGATAGGACAGTTTGTCATCAGGGGATCTTGCATGAGCTGATGGCTCGTTCCAAGCATGCTTATTGAGAAGCACAACATCTTATATCTGGTTTGCAGGAGAAACTGGGACTGAATCAGTAGAAAGCTATCATTCAATGTCCTGAAGTCAGCAGGAAGCTAATCAAGCAGTGTTGCACAGGATATCTCAAGTTCATCATAGACTGAGCACACAGCAGCCTTCGGACTGATAACCACAGTCCTTTAGGGAATAAGAGTTGAGTTTTAGGATCTGAAATCACAAGTCCCCCAAGACTCTTAATCCCAAGCCATTACTGGTCTTGCCAAGCATGCTCCTGGTTTTAGAGTAAGAACTATAATTTTTCGTTGTACCCAGGGCCTTAGGAAATGCTCCCAGCAACAGAGCAGGCAGTGAGCCTGTGTGGTAGGAAGCTCCAGTATCACTTTTGGCAGAGATGGGAGTCCTAGTACAT